TTCGTCACGGTGATCGTTGACACAACTTGTCTTGCCGTCCCGACATGACCAAGTCAATTAGATCCAGAGCATTTTGTAGATGTCGCTGCTTGATCTTAGCCTCAAATTACACGATGATACCGGCGTCTTGTAGTTGCAGGTATTCTTTAGTGTTTGGTAGCAACATTTTGACCACATCTTTAGACAACACCGTGCCGTCGTCAGGTTTATGGGGTGGAGCATTGTCCACAAGCATAATAATCTTTCGATTCTAAACCATCATGCGATCGTTCAACAATGACTGGTACGAGTTAAATATGATTCATGTCATCCAACCGTTTTGTTAATATCCTCATGTTCAGTACTACTCTGGAAAGAAATATACTGTACCTGGAAGCGTGTATACATAGTCCAGAACGTTTTTCATCGATAGCTCACTCATTTTATAGCTATGAACGTCAAATTGGTGCCAAAATGACCGTCTAACCAAGAGCTATCGTTTAAGAAATGGAGATAGTTTAGAAATGCGATAGAGGCAAAAAACAATTCATTGGTGCGGCACAGCCGCACTTGGCCCATGCACTACGACTTCGGAATCGCCTCGAAGAAGCTACCTCGAACCTCCTCAGGGGTGACCATATCCCATGCCTTCATGGCTCGGTTAATGAGCGTGATACGCTTGACCTTCGCTGGTACTTGGTCACCGCCTTCAGCGTCGCTGATATCTTCTGCAATCCATAGGTCTCGCAGATGTCGCTTGAAGGGAACCATGATGGAGACGTCCAAGAGTGGCAGTGCGATGTTGCGTTCGCAGGTAAAGGCATTACATTAAACCCAAGCACTTGGGAAGTCTCCAGTGCCTCCTTGCTGAGGTGGCACTCGAAGATTGAGAGCTTGAGGCCGTCGCGACGAATCCTAAGGACGGCCGTTATTCGGTAGGAATGCTTTTCACCCTTGGAGAGCTTTGTATTCCTACTTTCTTTACCCATATATACTGTGGCGGCATGTCGAACTGAATTCCGGTCTCGTCCACGTTGTCTCCGCCACGGATCCGTGTGTTACATGGAAAGTACCAGCAAATACCGCTCGAGTACTTTCAAGGTCGGTGATCACGCGCTTCGACATGCAGGCTTGTTGGTGGGTGTATTGATTCCGGTAGCAAAACTGCTGGATTAGTTTAAGTAGAAGATCATACCCTCGTCCCGTCTATGTACGTCTGGATCCAATCTTTGTGGTTGAGCTTGAGATACGTTATCATGTGCGTGTATGTAAGAGCACGTTCTTGGGCTCGTCAGGCATCCATGAACGCTAGGAGCCCTTTGGGTCAGGTAGAACGGTCGAACGGCCAGCACCGGGAAGATTGGATCCCTTCTTGTTTACTTTGAAGTCCAGGAGCTGTGTTGAGACACGACTCCAGTTGGGCACAACGCTGAGTGCTCTGCCGCAACCTGGCGGAAGGACATGAACTGAAGAAGCGCGAGGGCCAAGAGCTTGAGTGAAATTGGGTAGGTTTGCCTTCGGCTGCGTGATGCAGCACGATTGGTGGCACTGTCGTCTTCTGCGTTGTCGGTTGGCATCAGCAGATTGAAAGTGGGGTGGCCATTGGCATCGACGATGTCGATAAATTCGCGGTATTTTTTCCCATGGAGCGAATATTATTTCAACCAATAAGTAGGCTCCAAACTCATCACCAGCCATTGGTTAAAATTTTGATTACCTAAGGCCAAACTTCGACGTGGCTTAAATTCCATCGTTGCCTGTAACAGGACCTAATCTCATAATTTAGTATAGGATAAAGTATTAGGCATCAATCCTTGCAGTACGTGTACTACCGGTACTACTTTCGAAGTGGGTGATAATCAGGTAGTTTAATACTACGTAGTACGTCGAAGTACTATGTAGTACTACTACACTTTAGTATGGGATTACGTGACACAATCGGTGTCTACAGTGGCCATTCCCAATCGCTCGAGGGAGTCATATGGACAAAAAGCCTGTTGAAAAAGTCAAGTAGTGAGAGTGGTTAGGGTGACTTTTTCGGTTATGGTAATCATCGGACTAAGGGTAGAGAAAGCACGAAATACCTTAAACTTATTGTCGGCCCTATTACCAACCACCGATGGCATGAAGCGGACGTGAATTAGGATGTACTGGTGTTACTGCGAGTACGTAGCTACATGGGACAAAACCTCGAACGATTGCTCTAGGCCTCGTGACCTGGAGCAGTCGTGTGAATTGCACTCCATGCTACCATACTCCTAT